GAGACAGAGAGAGACAGACAGATAGGCGGACACACAGAGAGAGAGAGAGAGAGAGAGAGAGAGAGAGAGAGAGAGAGAGAGAGAGAGAGAGAGAGAGAACGGCCAAACCGGTAGGGTAACATCTGTAGGTAGGTGATCCATGAAACCAAAGTGAACCACCGTAAAAGAATGGCTCAACTTTCTTCCGTAGCAAATTGTAGATATACCGGATCGGAGAAGTATCGTAGCAAAAATACCGGTCTGCCAGTGTATGTGCTTGGAAACTTGGCAAAAAGGGTATTTCTGCAACTTTCCAGGTACTACATTTGTGGCCATACAGGGGCGGACCGGTATACTTGCTACTTTACTTCTCCAGTGAGGTGTTTCTGCAACTTGCCCCACAAACACATGGGTGTTTGATCCGCGGCACTGAAGCCAAACACCGTGAACGGATGACCTAACGGCCAACCGGGGGATATCCATCCCTCGCCGTTACGTTAACACAGTGAGTGTCTGATCCACTCCATGAGACATGAGACTAAAATCAGCCTCTTTCAACTGATTTGTCAGCTTCTGCCGGTCTGCAGTCCGTGACTCCTTCAACAGTTATTCCACCCATCTTCATTATCTCCTCCATCCTTAAAGCTACCTCCTTGCTGTTCGGCCTCAGCTTCTCATTCCGAATGAGACACCGAGCAGCCACATCTAGCATCTCTCTGGCCATCATCCTCATCGGATCAGACTCGATTTCGTCCAAAACCGTAGGATCGACGACCTCCTCCAGATTGACGGTACCAGTCTTTGCCAAGTGCTCTCTCTGCTGCTCGACCAGGGTTACGGTTTCGCGCGTTAGCGTGCCTGGAAGGACCGCCTTTTTGCCAGTAAGTAATTCCAATAGGACAACTCCAAAAGAGTACATGTCACTTCTCCTTACCAACTTTCCTCGTTCCGAGTATTCCGGAGCAGCGTAGCCAGGGGTTCCCCAACACCTATTACGAGCGACTGTCATGCTATCGGTTCTAGGCATCTCCTCCACCATAGATTTGGCCAAACCGAAATCCGCTAAGTATGCCTTCAGCTGCGTACCATGTCCTGTTCCCAACAACACATTTAAACTCTTGACATCACGATGAATAACTGGTGGCTCAACCTCGTAATGAATGTAACGAAGAGCTTTGACGATCTGTTGGGCGACAACAAAACGCTCTACCAGGGAGAGACGGTTGGGCTGATGATCGCCTTCTCCTCCTGGGTATCGGCCACTTCTTTCTTCTCCTCCTCCCCTTCCTCCCCTTCCTCCTCCTCCTCCTCCTCCTCCTCCTCCTCCTTCCGTTCCTCTTTGCCCCCCGTTCGCATCGGGTTCTTGGGTTCCACTTGGCTGCTCTCTCTCGGGTCGTGACCCTCCTGCTCCTCCATCTCCGCTTCTTCCTGCTTCAACTGCTAAGATGGCACTTGCTGACCCTACCGACTCGTACTCTGCCCCTTCTCCGGATGCATCTCCCGTTACTTCAGTTGTTGAGCCTCCTCCGGTTAGTACTCTCGCTCCTTCTAGCGGGCAATGCAGTCGATCGTACAAGCTCCCGCCAGCCATGTACGGGTAAACCAACATGTACTTGGTATTCTGGCGGCAGTATCCAATCAAGCCACAAACATGAGCGTGATGTAACCGACTGAGTGTACTCACCTCTGCGAGGAATTGCTTTTCGTTCTTCCTGATCACGTTGCGATCCTTGTCGACCTTCACGGCTACCTTTACAGCGATCTGCGTTAGCGTTCCGTCCTCGCCCCTCAGTGTGCCCCAGTAGACGGCGCCGAAGCCGCCCTTCTTCCCAAGCTGTCGAGATGCGTCGAACCTCCTCGTCGCTGCCTTTAAGCGCTCGTACTCAAACTCTGTGACCTTGTGGATTTCGACTGGCAGCCCTCTCTTACGCCTCGCGAAAATGAGTGCTCCCATGCTGATTGCAGCAAGAAGGATACCAACCGCCGCAACTATGCTGACCACTACAACTATGTTTGAATCAGTTGGTTTAGGATCCGGTCTCGAGGACTCAGCGTCAGTACGGGAAGGAGAGGCGGGGGAAATGGATGGACTCAGAACGATTCCCGGTGGCGAGTAGGGAACCCCATCAGGAGTGTTGCTGCGCTCCAGAGCTGAGCTGTTGATGCTGAGCTGGAACACTTCCCCGTCGTCCGTACCTAGGAGAAGGAGGAGTTCTCCACTATTATTGCCTACGGCCAACCCATACACGCCAGCACCGGGACGCTTGGTGTACCAAGTGACGTTGGTTACTCTAAGACCGGCTCCACATGCAGAGTCGAGCTCAATCCGCTTCACAAGACCTGTGTCTCTCTCGCAGACGAAGACGTTCAGACCATCCTCCGTGACGGCCAGGTCGTATAGCTGTCCGAACGATACGCTTAAAGCGTTGGACATCACTATCCTATTACTACTGCTAGTGTTTCTACTTGCTGATTGCGGCAAGGGCTGGGCGACTAACCCCATCCCCGCGACAAGATTGACGACATTCGACGAACGATTGAGTGCCCAAACACTGCCGCCGATCTTGCGATCGATGAAGTACAGGCACCGGCCATCGCGAGGGAAACTGTAAGGTCCGAAGTAAATCGACGAATGGTCCCACTCGTGATTTTTATCGAACGTGAAGAGAGGGGAGGGTGTGGCGAGTCCCTGGCTGGAAAGATCAACGCTCTGATCGAGCGTAACCGGAGAAGACAAGATCTGAAGAGGAGCCAAACCGTTCGCGACGAACAGAGTGGTCATTGATGGATCGATCGCGATCCCGTTGGCGAGATCGAACCGCAACGGTACAGACGTCCTCTCCCCGGTCACCGTATTGAGCGTGGTGAGCCAGGATCCCGGCGGAGTTGCAGAATGGTATCCCGACAAGATCAGCTCAGATCCAGACTTCGACAGAGCCATCCCCGTGGCGAGATCCATCTCCGACGCGCAGTTAGGGTCTTGGCACGTGGACTGAGGCAGTCGGGCACCTGTCCCTTCACGCCCCGGCCACCAGGTGCTTACCAAACGACCCACTACAGCTTGCGCGCCCAACAGTGACTCATAGAATGACAAAAGCCGCCTGCTTGGCGCGCTCATCTTCTCGTCCAGCGCGCAGATCTGATCGAGAATGTAGAAGAACTTTGTACTACCAGGGTGCAACACGATGTTGCGTACCAGGGGTTTGCACACCATACCCGTCTCGTTGGAACCCGTGACGAACGGGGCTTCCTTCTCATACTTCAGGACGGCTTTGCAGGAGCCAGCGAAGAGAGACTCGTCGATGATGTTTAAACCAGAGCAACTGCTGGGTGATTGAAGCACTCTCTCGTTTTGTCCATGAAGCTGGGGACATCTTCCTTCTGCTTCCCGACCGACATACTGCGCCGAGGACCGCCAGAAAGTCGATCCGCTCCCGACCGGTCGTCCGCCGATGATGAGGACGAAGGAAAGCAAGACCACTACCACCCTCGCTCCACCTGTGAGGGTGAGTCGGGACGGGCAACTGAAGTGAGCACCGAGGATCGCCAGGTTACACACAACACGTATGCGACTCGGATCTCTCCTCACATTGTCGCGGGCGAATTTCGCCATCTGTCTATGACCTAAATGTCCAACTACCGAAAAGAAAAACAATGTCGAACTACCGTGCAAAACGAAGCGTATGATAGGGTAGCTTCTTCGTCATACGGTTTCTCTAGCCCAACGATCTAAGTTAACACTCGCAAATACTAAGACAATAAGGCAGACCGGTAGTCAACCCACTACGATCCTTAATCGTTAATAACGTTTTTTGGCTATGTGTGTTCCCATCTCCCAACATAAACTTAATACGACGAAGCTCTCTCTCTCTCTCTCTCTCTCTCTCTCTCTCTCTCTCTCTCTCTCTCTCTCTCTCTCGCTGTGTGTGTGTGTGTGTGTGTGTGTGTGTGTGTGNCTGTGTGTGTGTGTGTGTGTGTGTGTGTGTGTGTGTGTGTGTGTGTGTGTGTGTGTGTGAGAGAGAGAGAGAGAGAGAGCGCACACGTGCTATCTATTTATTTCTCGCCGGTGCCTGCCAATAAACTGGGAATCAGGGGCGTGAGATGAGAAACGAGACGGAAAACGGGATGCAAAAGAAATTCTGAGAGCTCAACCTACCTGATGTAGTCCATTTTAGGGTGTACCCCTAAGCTCTGATAGAGGTACGGAGTCAACCTGCGCGCTTCTACACAACGGCTCTTCGCTGCTAATTCATCTCTCTCTCTCTCTCTCTCTCTCTCTCTCTCTCTCTCTCTCTCTCTCTCTCTCTCTCTCGCTCTCTCGTCGATTGCGTGTGTTCAGCGCAGTGAGGAAGGGAGTCAGTTCTCGGGCGTGGACCATACATTTGCTTCCGTCTCTCACCTCCACTGCTTTCCGTCTCTCTCGCTGTGTTTGTGTGTGTCTATGCTCGCGCGTGGGCTGTGTGTGTGTGGACGGAAACCATGCCATCCAGCAGCCCACGTGCCTTCCCGTGCGGCAGTCACTCTCCTCTCATCCGCTGTGAGGGCATACTCACACTGGGACCCCAAATCCGCAAAATTGGGAAGGGCCGATTTGAGGTTTTGGGCATGGTTCACGTCACAGTCACACGGCTGTACCTTTTGAGATGGGACAAGGTCGCGGCCGTCTGGTGAAATGGGGATTTGGTACTTGGCTGGTCACATGGCGCCATCCACAAATTGTGCAAGAACTTTTTTTTTTTTTTTTTTTTTTTTGGAAAGATGTATCAATGTGTTGCCAATGTATGGGAACGAGGCCGGGGACCTCACAATTCAACCCGGAGTTGTCCTGGCAGCCTCAGCCAGTTTAGCTTAAATCTAGCTCCTTCAAAAATCTTTCAACCGCTATCCTGTTGGAAACCGGGTCCAACGTCCCATACTAACTTAAACACTTCTTTCCAAAAAAGCTCAGGATCTAAACATGAAGCTCAGAAAAAAGGAGATTCTAATCATTTCATGAAACCTGTCACCTACAGATTCAAAACTGCAGACTATTCAGTACCGGCTGCTTTACAGAGCCACTTGGCAACCACTAATTTTTTCCCCTCTGCTACCGAGGCCAAGAAATTGTCCTTCGTCCAAGTCTTACAGAACCACGAAACTCCTTTGCCACCACTCTTAGTAGCTCTTCTCCAATCAGATAAAATCGTGAGCCTGAGGGACTGTTTAACCAGCGCTCTCTGCTGGTGGAAATGTATTTCTTGATTCCTGAAGACCGCCGAGTTTCTCGCCTTCCAGATTACTTCCATTACTGTTCCACGACAGGTCAGGGCTACATATCCCCAATTTCCATTGAGCCGTGCGCCAGTTGGTGGTCTGGCAGTCAAGATCCATTCATCAGTCCAAGGCCACTCTCGGCCCACCACATCATCCCACTGTAGCTTCCACCATCTCCATAGTTCATCAGACCGAGGACAGAAGCGCCATATGTGACTAGCAGTTTCGCCACTGGAGTCACATCGTTTACAGGTTTCATCAATTTCCAAACCTCTTACCCTCAACCATTCTGCCGACGCCGTAAGTCCCATAGACTGAATCCACATCAAACTTGCCTGTTTCTGAGAAGGAATATCCTTGAGTGCCTTCCACAGACCTCTAAAGTCTGGTGTGGGTTCTTCTTCTCCGTAGTCTCTCTTAAAACGGCGCACCGCCACTTCCAGTGGTTGTGTTTTCCTCATCCTGAGGTAGGAGGCTCCCACTTTAGAAGTATATTGAATTAACGAGGAAGTCTTCCCCCCCTTGTCTTTCCATCCGTAGAGGATAGGATCCACCACATATTCTCGGGCCAACCCTTCTAACAGAATCAAATCTTTATTCCCGGAGTACTGATCCTCTAATACTCTTACTTCAGTTAAACTGTTTGTAGAGGTTAGGGTGGATTCCGCATCCTTTATCAGTTTGTAGCCCAGACCGCTCTTTCTACCTTTAATCCATTGTTCCACTTTTATTCCCTGGGGCAGATCTGGGCCCAAGACCTTAACAATTATACTTGAGTCCGTCGGATGCAACAGCCAGGTACCCATCCCGTATTCCGAGGATTCTTTTAACATAGCCTTCCATTGAACAGGAATAGCTTGTAGCAGTTGGAGGTAATTTTCTTCCACTCTGTGCACTCTCGGCAGTTTCTGTCGAAGTCTGTCCGAGGAAATCCAATCCTGATTTGTATCATCCCAGATGTGTTTAATTAAAAACACTCCTTGGGCTATCCAAGATCTACTAAACGACCCAGCCCTTGAGTTGGACTCCACCGGCAGACCTGACGGCAGCTTGATTAAAACATTATTGAACAAACTTTGATTACCCACCTCCAGCTTCGTAACAGGGTCACATAGCGGATCTGGCTTTAGTTTTCTCCAAGCCAGGAGAATCCCCGCTCAGATCCTAGATTTAACTTTTTTAACAGGCATATCTGCTCTCACGGGGTCATGATGGTCATATGCTGTACCACCCTGCCCCTCCTCATCCACACCACATCCTCCGTCCACGGGCTGTAACGGAACCTCGTGCGCCTCTGGTGAAGGATCCCGCAACACTAACGCCAACGACATACTGCCTCCGACCTCGATCGGATCATCACCCGTCCCATCATCGCCCTCCGCATCGCGTCTACGACCTCCATCCAACTCGCCTAAATCGCCCTCCATGTGAACTGCCTCCTGAGTGAATGGAGGATCAGGTTGCAACATGCCCGCTGCACACAGTCCAAGTATGACGTTGGACATGGCTGAATCTCCATACTTAGACTCACCACCGTCTCCTCCCATTGAGGACCCTGAGTCGACATCGCCCTGGGGCGACGTCAACGGTCCGCGTGTGTCAGGTGTTGCTGCGTCGGCTGCAAATGGATGCGGGACTATAGGAACGTGATGCTCAACCCCGCCCGCATCAGGGACTGCAGTACCGGTCTCCAAGTCCCGAATACGCTGTTGCTCCGCCATGTACACATCTCTACCTGCCCACTCTCTCTGCAACTGCTCCAGCCGTTGCTCCTCCGTGGACTCCGCTCCACCACCCTCGATACGATGATACTGGATGTCATCCCCCACTCTCTCTCGCCCTTCAGTCCGTCCTCGAACACCGCTGCCAGAAAATCTGTGTCCAAGGCCATGAAAGTCACTCGTGCGCAGCTCACTCTGCTCCCTGTCGCCTCGAGGTGCTGAGGTGGGTGTGTGCTGGCTCGCCAAATGCACCTCTACTCTGATGTTCTCTACATGGTCCGACACCTCGCGTCTAGCACCTGTATGCGACCCGGCCTGCGCCTGCAGCCTCACTAATCTACTAAGACCCTCGGCGGCAAGCGCGGCTCCCTCGCGCGCCAAGCGTGCTCTGCGAATCACCAACGGCTCGTCGTCGTCGTCGTCCGCCGTGCTGACCACCCCGGTCACCTTCCTCTCTCTCTCTCTATTAGGGAGTACAACACTCGCCCCGCCTAAAGCATCTCCACGGTCCAACCCTGTATCCGTAGCGGGGATGGAATAGTCATCGCTCTCCCGATTGACGGTGCAGCGTGGCTGAAATCCGTCCGGTCCTCCCCCGTACGTGTAGTAGAGTCTATCGACCCTCTTGTCTACACCAACCGACAAATCCTCTCCGCCCTCAGCATCCGTCTGGTCCTTCGACGCCTGCACCGGCTCTACTGGCGGTGGAAGCATGTAATAGTAAGGAAGGAGTACCAATAATGTCGGCTCTGGCACCAAAAACCTCAGCAACTCCCGTTGGGCGACGAGCACCCTGCTGCTGAAAGCAACGAAGTTGTGCATTGATCTCATGTGCCGACACTGCTGACTGAGCTCTGGCTCCCCACTCCTCTGGCTCAGGCTCCTCCTCCTCATCCTCGTCGTTGACCAGCGGGTGTGTGTACTCCTCTGGCTGCGTCTCCGCCAAGGTCGCCATGTGACCCCACTGAAGAACGTACCCTCCACTCCGGTCGCTGCATCCAAGTAGTTTGAGATTTGTAGCGATCTCAAATAATTGCGCAACCTTCCTGAACCCGAGCTTGTTGCGCTTGGCCGTGTGGATGTGCTCATGCTCTGCTCAATTCCTCTCAGCAGGAGAGGCCGACATCCACATATGCATTACACGGCCAGCGATCTCCTGCAATTCCGGGAAGCATGTGTCGTGCTCCACCCACCAAGACGCGCACCAACTCGTCTCATCATCCCCGATACAGGCCTCCGCCTCGGCGTCCCTCGTCACCCTTTTGGTGGTGTGTCCGATCCGAGCGTGGAACGGCCGCATCTGCTCCCGCACCCGCAAGTATGTCTCCCCCGCCGGATCACCGCCTGTCTGCGCTAAAAGAAATGAGTCGCACTAGGTGACCACCTCGAGGTCCGCAGCTATCCTGCGGACGGACTGAGTCTGGTAGTAATGGAGAGAACGTCTGCGGGGGTTGAGCAGGTGCGCCGCAGCGTGCATAGGCTCAAGCATATGCATGGTGCGGATCTGCATCGCCTCCACGCACGGCTTTCGCATGTCATCAGGGACGTTAGCAGCAGCCACCTGCTGCACCAACTCCTGGGACCATGAGTACATCATGGACATGATCATGCTGGCCCTGTCCAATCTCCTCAACAGCTGGTGGACCTGGGTCATGACAGCAACAGCGTGCTGAACGTTGCGCCAGAAATCGGCGCACCGGATGACCTGTCGAACCCAGATAGCCTGTCTACACAACATCGGCTCCCATGGGCTACGAATCCCCCTCGGCGGCGGACAAGCGTGCCCGAGTGCGCGACCCCGTAGATGCGTCCGCACGGCCGCGCGACTTCACGGACAGGTGGCGGCCGGTAGGGAGGGGGGTTGGGATTCGGGAAGCGCCATGGGGCGGCGCAACCCTAGCCCCACCCGCACACGCAAAAAAAAAAATTAAAAAAAATAATTTTTGGGTGGGGGGTTTGGGTGAGTGAAGGTATTTCAAAAGAAAAAAAAAAAAAAAAAAAAACG